TGTCTGCTGTTTAAAGTGTTATTCCTTGTTTCAGCCAGTAGATGGCAACATTACTCTGATCTGTAAACGTGACTGACTCATTGTAAAAAATATCAGACATTCATTTGAAAATCGCTTATTTAATGAAATATAATCTAATTTATATTATTGCAAACTTGATCCAAATGTCATTGTTTTTAATTGAAAGTACATTTGCTGTACAATGCTACAGACGCGTTATAAAACAATTTATTGAACCTAATATGACTTTAATATTAGCTATATTTCCTCTTCCACAGTAAACTGAAATAGTTCTCCTTTTCACGCATGCATTTTTCAGTCGAGTTGAACTTTACTACTCCATGAGGGCCTAATAAACGTGTAACAGCCTAGAAAACAGATTCCGAACAGAGCAGCAACCAGGGCAGACAGTGTCTTTAAAGCGCTACGTTGCAGTAAATAACCGCACACTGTAAAACTCTTACTCACTGTCCATTAAAAGTACCAGCAGGTCGTTCAGGCCGCGCAGAGCGAACGCGGAAGTGCGTCGGGGCGACTTCTCTCGCTCCACCCACACACTCTTCGACCTTAAACCGACTCGTCGGTCGACATTTTCGGCACAGCATCATCAGCGCTGACGTGAAACTACGTGAGCGGAGGCACAGGCCGTCCACCCATACCGTAATTAGTGACGAGTCAGACTACGTAAAACTTCGGTAAGTCACTGCAAAGCCGTCACATTTTTGCTCAGCAGCTGTCGGGCAGAGTCGGAGGACAATGTGCAAACACGTCTGCGGTGCGGAACTATTCATTAAAAGTTTGGCTTGCGGGTATTGCGGGACCAACATGGAGTAAAAAAAAAAAAAAAAAAAAAAAAAAAAAAAAAAAAGCGGTTCTTTTTTTTATTTTTTTTATTTCTGCTGAAGTTCAGTAGGCTGCGTCAAGTGTGACGGGGTTAGAAGGATGACGGAAGTTGATCGAAAGGTTTCTCTTCTAAATAAAATGTGTTAAAGAAATTGTCATGAAAAATATCAACGCTTCCGTTTTTATTCCAAAATCCTCTAAACTATCTTCTGTCTTTATTTCTAAACTGTGTTAATAAAATGACCTACCTTTTAAAATAAAAGTATAAAAATGAAATCTAGTGGGTTGCAGTGCAGCTTATTTTCACTCTGTGTCACTGAAATAGGGAAGTCACATTTGTCTTTGTGAAATTTCTTGAACTTTATGATTGAAAGTTACTTGAAATACACCAATAAAGAACTGTAGAAATTGTGTTTACAAGTTGGGCTTTTGCTATATTTAGAGAGATTGAAAGTGAAATGAGTCTGTTGTCTTCTGCTTTGACACCCTTGCAGAAATTCTTCTGAAAATTGGGTCCCGGGGATTTTCCTAATCAGATGTTTCACACTTGAAGTAGCAGATAGTAGACAGCATTTGAGATTATGGTTGGAACCAATCTTTATCACAGCCGCCCTGTTGTAGTTTCTCATGAGAAAATTTTCGAAATATTTGATCTAAAATCTGCATTGTGGCTGGTGACTGTGACGCTGGCACAGTTTAACTGATATACACAGTGTCTTTCTAAAAACATTCTTCGTGGAGAGGTTTGCATTTATACATGAAACAACTTCAAACCTGTATTCTACTGTAGTTTTGTTTCGTTTTTTTTTGTCACCTTTAAACCTTAAACATGACAAAAACTCCATTAAAACAGATACAAATACTTAAAGAAACTCCAAGTTTATTGAAGGTATTAAGGTTTTTAATGAAGCCATGGGTGAGATCCATGAAGCAATATCCTTTTTAACAAAAGGCCCATACTGTAGCCCTGCGAAAAGCAAGTTTGGTATCACATAAAAAAGAAAATAAAAGGAAGGCCTTCGTCGGCCTCAGAATTAGTATTAATAGTCTGTCTGTCTGTCTGTCTGTCTGCCTAGGTGACTGAATATGGATACCCCGGTCTCACCTCAGTTGGACAGCAGTTTAAATGACTCAGTGACAGATGGAGAGGAGAACCACAGTGAAACCAGTCCATCTCCTGCAGCTCCTCCTCAGGTATACACACACACACACACACACACACACACCTTGTTATAAAGTCTTATTTAGCTCTTTAAAATGATAGAGAAGGTACAGCAGCACTTAAATGTTCATGGATACGCATGCAGCATGAGATATTTCACTTGTTGAAATGTTGACTAAAGATGACTTTCTCTTCTTTTACACCACACATAGTCATTTTTACAATTGTAGCTTTAGGCATGAACGTATGGATGTGTGTCTGCAGGTGCCGGTGGTTGCAGAGTCTCCCAGTGTGACTGTTGTCCAGCTGTCTGACAGTCAAACGGTGCAGGTCCAAGGGGTCATCCAGGCCCCTCAGACCTCCGTCATACAGTCACCACAAGTCCAGACTGTCCAGGTGAGAGCGTGAGATGCCCCCTGCCAGGATTTCTGCTCGTGTTAAGTTTCAGCTTCTTCAAGAAAAGTCCAAGTAAATTCTCAAGTCATTCAAGACAAGTCCAAATCAAGTCTCAATTATGTCATAGCAGGTTTCAAGTCTCAAGTCACTGAAGTCAAGTCCATGCCAAGTCCCCAGTCTCAAGTCATACAAGACCAAGACAAGACCAGGTCAGATCTATCAGAGCAAGCCTCAAGTCAAGTGTCAAGTTATTCACGACAAGCCCAGGTCATTGGTCAAGTCAATTCAAGTTGAGTCAAGTATTTTAAGTCAAGTCTAAGCCAGGTCTCTAGTCCACTTCAAGTCTGAAGTCATTCGAGTCAAATCAGTCAGTGCAAGTCTCAAGTAATTGAAATCAAGTCTAAATCAAGTCTTGTCTGTCGCAGCAAGTCTCCAGTCTCAGGTCATACAAGACAACTCCAAGTTAAGTCCTCATCTTGGTGCCTTAAGTCAAATTTTGAGCCCATAGCTCCAGCCTATAGCTCTGGTATCACCATTTAAAAAAAGAGAGCTGTTGTGAACACAGATTGAACAGAAAAAACTGTCCACACGAGTACTCGCGTGGACAAGGATTTACAGGTTGTGATGTCAGAGTAGTGGGTTAGTGAATGAGGATTTAGGTACCATGTGTAGGAGGTACTCTGGAATGCATGCGGTCCGATGCAGTGCATCTGTTAATAGGATTGATGTGAGTAGCAGGAGCTGAGGTTTAAGCTCATCAGTCTAACCTTCAAATTCAGGAGATGTTGTTGTTGTGTCTGGGCAGGAGGACAGACACATCAGACAACACACTGACCGGGTGAAGCTGTGTGACGCTGGCTAAAAGTCAGAATGTGATTGTTTCACTGAATAATGCGGTGCAGATGGATGCACGGATGTTGCATTGTTTTCAGCACTTGAAGCAAACGGTTCTTGGATGAAATAACACTCCCCTTTTATCAGTTAGATCTTGCAGCAGGTTTTCTCTCATGTGCAGCTTGGTGTGCAATGCACAGGTTACTTCCTAATTTCGTGAAAAGTATCTTTACGAGGAAACAGGTCAGGAAAGAGTCTTGTGAACTGCACAGTGAAAACTCAGATGTAAACCACAATGTGGTCTTGTTAACTGATTTCAAAGTACTCTGTGCTATCAGTGAGCTTTATCAATAACAAGTTTGACTTCATTGTGGTTACTTTTCATTGTAATAATTACATTGGTATAGTAAATATCATGTATCCCTGATTCTGAAAACAGAGCTTAAGTTTATTAAAGGTTTTGTGTTTGCTTCTGTAAACATGTACTTGACAAACTGTGTCAAGACTAAAACCTGTGTGCAGCAGCAGCAGCAGCCATTGTGCTACTTCTAAACCTATGAGACCTTACCGCATAAATCTAAGAAACGTAGGCCTAACTTCCAATAAATGGATGTGGACACACCATTTTTAAGCCTTTATTTTTGCCACAATGAAATTATGCTTGAAGAAAGGCAGGCATTGACTCACACATTTACAAATAATTACACAGTATATAGAACTCTCTCACTGAAGACAGTTGAGACCTGAGATGGATTGAAAAGATTCCTTCTTTGACGTCATCCTTCTCTTTTACAATTTATCAAACATATTCACTCACAAAAGCAACACCTCCCTCAATGATAACATTTAGCACCAAAGATGTGGCCAAAATGTAAAAAAACAATACTGCGGATCACTCAGCCTTGTTAAACACTGTTTGTTTTCTATAGATTGCCACTGTAGCAGAGTTGGAGGATGACAAGTCAGTCACAGACACTCAGAAGAGGCGGGAGATTCTCTCCAGGCGTCCATCTTATCGGTGAGAAGACGTCAACAGTAGACAAGACGGTGATAAAAAATGCATATGGTGTGTAAAGTCTGATAGTGTTGAGCTGTCTGCGTGGAGTTTATGGAACTCTTCTCTCCCGCAGAAAAATACTCAATGAGCTTTCATCGGATTCACCGGCAGTTCCCAAAATCGATGAGGAGAAGACAGAGGAGGAGGTGCCTGTTTCCAGTGCAGCCTCAGCATCAGTGCCGACCTCCATCTACCAGACCAGCTCAGGACAATATAGTCAGTAAACACACGTCAACAGGGATATTAGCTGAACTTAAAGCAGCCTCAGTTTAGCCACTAAATGGAGTTAATTGAGTCCACTTAAATATTTTATTTCCTGTATAGGGTAGCATGGATGGAAGTGTAGGTTCGGGAAGTATTTTTCCCTCCTGTAAATTTCCATTTGGAGGTTTTTCATGGTCCATATAATTTTCCATCCAGCATTACATGAGACTCCTGGATAATGTAACACATTAGTTATGTATATCTTTTTTTTTTCAAATCAGATGTTCTGTCAGTCGAGTGTGGTTGATGGCTTAAAATACGACTGTGCGCAGCTCCCTCAGTGCTGTTGCTATGGAGAACGTGGAGTACAACCATGAACACAAATCCAAGCTTCAACGTATTCAAAAAGCTTGGATGAGTCAGTCAGGAACAATAAACAGCGTCAGTGGTGCCGCATTTGTCACAAATTAGCTGTGCAGGAAATTCATTTTAGGCCTGGTGATAAATATGGTGAATATGTCTTGCTGCAGTGCTCCTTGGGAGTTGTGGTTGACTTCTTTTAATGAAGTTGTTATGTTTAGTTATAACTGAACTTCCACCCCCACACAGTTGCGTTCACTCAGGGGAGAGCCATCCAGTTGACCAGCCCTGGAGCTGAAGACCTTCAGGGGGCCCAGACCCTGACGATGGCCAGCTCTCCCACCCCGCAGCCAGGGGCCACGATCCTGCAGTGTGCAGCTCAACCCGGAGACTCCCCACAGCAATACTACATTCAGGGAGGACAGGTGCTCATCCAAGGTAGGGTTCAACTGCTTTTGGTGAAAGTGAATGTGTTATGTAAAACGTGGTAATTTGCAGTTCTGGTGATGATACAGTGGTGAAATATAAAATACACAATTTCCTCAAGTACCTTGGAAATCCCTGACATCTGGCAGCATTAGGAATACCATTCATCTTTACAGCGACATAGCATAATTTGAGGCTAAAATGAAAATCTGTGTAAATCAAATTTAAACTGATAATCCACAATTTAAATCATGGGATTAGGACCTGGACAGAATTACGGGATTGTGTAAAAGAAAATGTACGTGGTACACCCACAACCCTGGGTGTTCAGAGCCCTCGCACAGATATTCTTGGGGCCAGTTTATTACCAGCAGGACTGAAAAACATTTGAACTTCAAGCTTAGCTGCAAATAAGTATGATTAGCAATTTTAATATGATAAAGTACTTAAATAACATGTGAAAAAATATTAAGAGTGAACATTATTGTATTGTAAAATGCTGTGTTAAATAAGGCCCCCCCGTCACACTATCCTTCAGTGCCAAGTTCCATACTTTCTGTAAGTATTAGTTTGCCTTAAACCTGTTTTTTTTACAACATGTATGGATTTATGAGTAATACCCTCACTGAAAACAATGGAGGCAAGGTTTTCATAGCAATGACTCATACATTGCTCATGTATCGCCATGAGAGTGCAGTCTAATAGGCTGCCCATTAGTCCATAACTGTTTCATTATGAATTCAATTTGATTTATTGAATTGAATTGAATTCTTAGAGACAGTGAAGCCATTATTAACTAATGGGCAACCTTTTAGACTGTGTGGTTACAAGGCAACATTTCAAGGACACAGACAGCCGCAGTCTGTGTCCACTGTGTTGTGGAAAGGATGGGGTTTCAGTTGGTGCCTTTTTTGTTTTGGGATGGTTTCTCTAACCCTTAATCCTGACATTTAGCCTGTCCTTGAAAATGGGTCTGGATAAATGTAACCTTAATTCCTAAAACTATAAAATGCAGAACATACAAAATAATGTAAGTAATACAAAATATAATAAAATACGGAAAATAAATACAATATACATATACAATCTAAACAAATAGTTTTAAGAATAAGAACGCCTTTATTGT